CCCCCCCTCACCCTCGCTCTCCCCGCGCAATCAGACTGATGCACCCAGAAAAATTTACTAAATCAAATGCAAGGTAACACAAGATTAAATTCATCATTGGAACAAGGCAGTTTATCGTCTTTAGAATAAGACTTTTCTCTTATTCAACAGAAAATATCAGCTTGTTTCAAAAGTATATTTGATCTTGTGTCAGCGTGACTTGAAACAAAGGAAAAATTTACTTGAAACAAGAAACGATTTTTCTGGGTGCGCACATCCTCTGCGTCGGACCCGCTCTGCCTCTTCGCCCAGGAAGGCAATGCCCCACCCCCGTCCCTTTTCCGGCTGTTTCCTTAGGATGTTCGTTCGGTCGAGCCGAGGCTTTTAGAGACATTGTGAGCGGTGAGCGGTGGCTGTGACTCGCGGTTCGCGGCTATTTGCCGTCCTAGGGCTAGTCTGACAAGGGAACCTTTTCAGGTGTAATTCTCCGATTTTGTTGGACTTGGAACACGGGAAATTTAAAGGTTACTAAAAGAGAAGTCGGACGGCATTTGTGATTTTTCCTAAACCTCACAGTTCCTAGGTGTTTACTTAAGCTTTATACTGTTTGTCCCATATATCTCTCTACCGCCTTGACGGTACAAAATAGAGCAAAACGGACAAAATTTTGGCCTGAAAGAGTGCTACTTTTGACGAGTTGCCCCTAAAAACACTGTTTTACACTTTTCAAAAAATATATTTTTCAAAAATCTTACTCCTACCCTAAATAAGGGAAAACTAATTGTGAGGTTTACAAAAAAAATTTAAGTGCCATCCGATTTCTACATTAATAAACTTCAAATTTTTCAAGTCTCAATGAAATCGGAGATTTACACCTGAAAAGGTTCCCCTGTGAGCCTACCCAGGTGGCATCAGCAGACTAGACTGAGCGTAGTGGCTCGGCGCGAGTAAGCAGAAGACGCGCGCTCATGCTCATATATGGGGAAAGCTTGTGTAAAAAAAAAAGCCACAAAAACTTGGTCAAAATGGAGGGCAGAGAGTAAGCTAGTGACATTTACTAAAAAAAATCACATCCCGCATCTCCAGATTAAATTTGGTAAAGGTTTATCCGAAAACTAAATATTTGTTGAGAGCATAGTGGCAGCTAAAGAAAGCTTCGCTTCGCTCAGCCTCAGCCATGCAAATGAGAGCAAACAGTACAATATTGATGTTCTTACCAATCAGTATTGCTGTCGGGGCACAGGCGGATATTTGCACAAACGGCGCTCGTCTCGTCTCGAGGAAATCGCCTGAGAAATAACAAAGAAATAAAGATTATAATAAACGATGAAAAACCATGCGAGGTCAGTGGGTCGGACAGTCGTATCATCCCCGCCAGTGGCCTCGCCCCGGCCCCGGCTGGTGCGGCGTGTTCAGCTGTAACATTATTTACGACTGGCCGTACGCAAGGGCAACGCTCGTCCCGCGTAGCCTCCCAAAATAGTACGCCGTTGCGTGTGCGCGCGTTTGCGTGTATGTGTGTGTGAGAGAGAGATAGAGAGGCAGACAGACAGGCATATAGAGAGACTGTAAGACAGGCAGAAAGCGAGAAAGCGAGAGGGCACGGGGAGATTGTTGCTTGCGTGTGTGTGTGCGGGTGCGTGTGGAGTGGTGTGTGTGTGTGGAGTGGTGTGTGTGTGTGTGTGTGTGTGTGTGTGAGAGAGAGAGAGAGAGAGAGAGAGAGAGAGAGAGAGAGAGAGAGAGAGAAGACTAGCCCCCGCGGACATAATGGGGGTTTTGCGCGCACTGC